AAAAAAAAAATTTTTTTTTTTTTTTTTTTTTTTTTTTTTTTTTTAGAGCTGCAGTTGGGATTGTTTTAGACACTGGCCTGTGTGTTCCAAACTATTTTTGAGAAATGACATTCCTCATTATCCCCCAGCCTCCCCCTGCCCCCATCTCTTAGAATCATAATGCAGGTTTTATAAATGTTTTAGAGGTTATCTAATTGAACATGCCCTCTTAAAGTTAGCAAGTGGAGGCCCAAACTTTGTGGCTTTCTATAGGCTGTGTGACTGTTGGGTAATGGAACCAATATCGCCGTCTTTGCCAGTCCATTGCTTTTCCTTTTGTGGTTTAGGGCAGTCAGTTTTCTTGCCTTTAAAAGACCAAAAGCCCCTTGATTTTATTAGTAGTAGAAGTTCTAGCTTGCTCCCTCTGCCAAAGTGGCCTTACACTGCAGACCAGCAATATTCAGTGCAATTTTCTGCAAGGAAGAACACGTTCTGTGTACTGGCCATTATGGTAGTCACCAGTCACATTTGGCTGCTAAGCACTTAGACTACATGGTTGGTGCTCCTGAGGAAATATCCCCATTTTACGTTAGATACATTTAAGCAGCCACATATGGGTAGTGGCTGCCGAGTGAGATGGCGCAGATCTGGGTGTTCTCTTTTGTCTCCCATGTCCCAGCTATCGGGTGAGGTCAGGTTATGAGTTAAAACTGTCCTTGTTAGATTTGTAAATTCTGAGCACCAGCTTGGACAGGATGTACTTAGAATTATCCATTTGGTCTAACAGTATGAAGAATCTGACTTGTCATTTTAAATTGCTACAGGGATGAAGGTGGCTGGAGAAGAGGACCAGCTGAGGAATCTTCAAGCTGGAGAGACTCAAGCCGCCGGGATGATAGGGATAGGGATGACCGTCGCCGGGAGAGAGAGGACCGGCGTGATCTAAGAGAAAGACGAGATCTAAGAGACGATAGAGACCGAAGAGGCCCTCCGCTCCGATCGGAACGTGAAGAAGGTATAGTGGTTACATACAACTGAAGTGTTGGAGAACCATCCTTTGCGGGGGTGGGGGGAGGGATTTGAATTATTTAATTATACCGCAAATTTGAATGAATGCCAACAATAAGAGAGTTGATGTTTGTTCCATTTGGAATTCATGATTTTCATACAGTTAACTCAGTGGCCATGTTGTGAGGTGCACTTATCTCCAAATTCAAGGTACAGTAGTAGACTAAATTGGATAGTAGGCGATAAATATTGATAAAATTTACTTAATAAAAATGAAAAAAATTATTATCTAAAAGTAACTTCCTGGCAGATTAAGCCCAGAGTAGAAACATTTTTTCTTTTAAACAGTTGGAAGTTCATTCTTTTTTAAAACATATGTATTTTTCATTTTTAAAATACTCATTTTTCTGTTGTTTTTTTTAAGAAATTATTTTTCTATGTCTTGACGTCCTGTTGTGAGATAACTTTTCTGTCATACCCATAACTTTAAAAACTTCTATACTTTGTGTGGCTAATTTGCTGTTAAAATTCTTCATGAGCCAAAAATCCTTTCAGTTTTTAAATTTTTTTTATTTTTTAGAGACAGGGTTTCACCATATTAGTCAGGCTGGTCTCGAACTCCGAACCTCAGGTGATCCGCCTGCCTCGGCCTCCTAAAGTGCTGGGATTACAGGCGTGAGCCACCGCGCTTAGCTCTTAAAATTTTTATTTGGCCAGATTTTTGCTACCTTGTCTTATGGGTTTATGCCAATTGTAGTCCTTCCCAAGCCAGTGGCTTCTGCTGGTTTTCAAATTTTGAGTTTTAGCTGTATGTTAAAGATTTTGTCAGAGGCTGGGTGTAGTGGCTAACGCTTGTAATCCCAGCCCTTTGGGAGGCTGAGGTGGGTGGATCACTTGAGGTTGGGAGTTAGAGACCAGCCTGACCAACATGGAGAAACCCCATCTCTACTAAAAATACAAAAATGAGCCAGGTGTGGTGGTACATGCCTGTAATCCCAGCTGTTTGGGAGGCTAAGGCAGGAGAATTGCTTAAACCAGGGAGGCAGAGGTTGCAGTGAGCTGAGATCTCAGCATTGCACTCCAGCCTGGGCAACAAGAGTGAAACTACATCTCAAAAAATAGAAAAAGATCTTGTCAGAAATCATGAAAGCTTTAATTATGATTTTGTATTGTTAAAGGAATTTTGAGTAATTTGAAGCATTCTTTCTGCTTGTTAATTTGAGCCAATAGAATATAGTACTTAGTTGTTGTTTTTTTAAATTAAACTTTTTAGTAAGTTCTTGGAGACGTGCTGATGACAGGAAGGATGACCGGGCAGAAGAGCGGGACCCTCCTCGTCGAGTTCCTCCCCCAGCTCTTTCAAGAGACCGAGAAAGAGACCGAGAAAGAGAAGGTGAAAAAGAGAAGGCCTCATGGAGAGCTGAGAAAGATAGGGAATCTCTCCGTCGTACTAAAAATGAGACTGATGAAGATGGATGGACCACAGTACGACGTTAAGTCTCAAGATAATGGATTTAAACTGGTGTCATAAATAGGTTTGATCACATTCAAGGATTATCATACTTGTGCTTCAACCAATCTAAATTGGATTCTTTAATGTTGTTTCACCATAACACAAAAAGCATGAACTTGTATTAATCCTATATAATAGATTGATCATGCACCATATCCACAGGAGGTTGGAAAAACCATGCCATTTTCTGGAATTTAGGGCTGTGGCATTATTTCATCAATCATTTGTTGACAAGAAACCTAAAAAATAAATTTAAAACGTGAACCTTCAGGTATTGAGTAACACCTTTATCTTGATATAGAACTGATCTTTTTTTTAAAATTTTATTTTGAAATATATTAATTTGGAATGAAGTAAGATTCTGTTAAAGAAAACATATTTGAAGACCCTTTAAAGCAGGGAATCTGAAACAATTTTCACACTTTTTCAAGTGGTCGAAATGTACCTCTTTTAGGTATTTTGAGGTATTTACCACAAACTAAATTTAGAAAGTTTTTAGATTGACTTTAAGTAAACATTACAAACATTGGATACAGTGTGGTTTTCTTTAGATTTTACTCGAGAGAAGGTGAGTATAAAGCAATTTGCAGTTACTATTGTAATGACAAGAATACTGCCTAAGTGCAAATCCAAACAGTACAGCTTTTAAATTTTAAAGCATTTGGTAAACTGTCGCTAAGTTTTTTTTTTTCTGTTGCCAATAGCAAACTGCTTTTCCATTAATGGAGAATTCATGCCTTTCAAGCATTTTAAATATGACAATATTTATAAATGTATGGTTTGGAGGAATCGTTTAAATTCTCTTTCCTAATTTTCTTTCTCTTCAAGATAGATTCTTTCAACAAGTAATTTGTAGTAATGACTGTGTTGACTTCAATTTTGGAGTGTAGTAGCTATGTTAAAGATTAACTCTTTGGTCTCATTGAAGCCAACACAGAACTTGCTGCTGTGTTTTTTCTTCAGTGATAAATAAAATACTTACAGAATTTGTTTTAGTGTTGATTCGTGGTTATAGTTAGTATTCTGTTTATAATGGTAAGTTTGCATATTGAGTTTTTTACTTGAATTTTTATCAGTGGCATTAAATGTCTTTAGTGTTCAGTATCAACGAAAATGAACCTAAATATAACAAAGCCTATGTGGCTAGGCTTTCTCCCCTAAAATGTCTTCCTCTGTTAATGAGGAATTCCTTAGTTTCCTTGTAAGGCTTTCCTCTTGAGTTTGTGTGTGCATGTGTGTATTTGAAGTACCACCTTGGGTTTTCACCTGAAATTAGAAAAATCATAGTTAATTTGAGAAAATGTCACAAATTCATCATGGCTGTAGGCACTTACTATTTCTGTTATTGAGCAGTGGTGAGAATTCCTATTGGTACAGCTGTAGGGCCAGAAGAGGGAGTATTAATACTTTTTTACCTAACCAGATGCAGCCTTTTCTGTTTGATGTTACCAATTATAGAAATCATTTTAAACACTTTTCTAACTATCTGGTACTTCAAATAAGTAGAAGTCTTAAAAGGTCTTTTGTGGGGAGGACTTTTCTTTCATAACAAGAGAATTTCAGATCAGTGATTTTAAGTGGGGCAGTAACAGCAGTGCTAAGAGTTTGCTTCCTAGAGAGTAGATCTGTACATGTGAAATCACAAGTAAGCTCCAATTATTTATTTAATCAGATTTGTTCAGATGAGTTACAGCTGCCTACATCAGTGTTAGGTTTCGAGGCTAGTCAGTAAACCCATCCTTTCTGCTCAGTTTCCTGTACTGTTTTCCCAAGTTCTTTGTCCTGGGACTCAGAACCCAAGTGCAAGAGGAGGGCAGAAGAGTCCGATGCTGTTACTTTGCAATCCTATTCTTGGTTTCCAGGCTGTACGACCCTGTCTACTCCCTAGTATTTACCAACAGGTGTTAAAGGAAAGCTGAACAACCGGCCTACTCACCGATCTGCTAGGTGGTCTTCCATGTTCCCGGTGGCTTCTGCAGTTTTCATTGAGAGTAACATTGCTGTTAATACATATGGATCCAATGGCCGAGACATCATCGGTCCAAAAAAGACTCTGCATCTCATTAGTTGTCCATAGTGGCTACCAGGAGGTGGTTGGCATCTATAATGTGTGGGATGGGACGTTTTTATGTCAAGAACTACCTGTTTTTTTTTTTTTTTAAACCAAAGACACTGACCATAGATTGATTTATACTTTTATAAGTCTAACTGAAATATATGGGGTACTGTCAAAGGACTGTTCTTGAGTGGCTACGATTAGAAAATCAGGACTAACAAACTTCTCTTTGTCTGGAAGCATATATATTTGTGATATAATTTTAATATGTATACTTTTAGTTAAATAAATCAAATCTATGACAAAAGTTGTTCTCATCAAAGCTAATAATTCTGCAACTTCCAAAAAGGACTTTGTTGGAAAATTAAAATACAAAGAAAAATAAAAGCCACTAGAAATTTGAGTCTGTACAGAAAAGAACAGGTTAAGACAATCTGTACCTCTATAGTTGAAGAAGCCCTTTTGAGTATTCCCTGTATTTTGCTACTTAACCAAGCATGCAGCATGTTAAGATAACTGTCATAATTACTTTGCATATTTCTTAAACTTTGAGAAATTAGGTTTCTCTAAATGTAATTTTGCAAAATGTTTAAAGTCTCACATTGAGTTCCAAGGATTTTTAAATGAATGTGTTTACATGTACTTTTCATAACAAGAGCCCTAGAAAATTAACTATAGTAATATTTGGTGTTTTAACTTCAGTATTCATTGTCAGCTGGAAAACCCAGGCATATTTGCACAGGAGCTGAAAATGGAGGTTTTTTTTTTTTTTTTTTTTTTTTTTTTGGGAGAGAGCCTAACTCTGTTGCCCAGGCTGGAGTGCAGTGGTGCAATGTGGGTTTGGGCTCACTGCAACCTCCGCTTCCTGGGTTCAAGCAATTCTCCTGTCTCGGCCTCCCAAGTAGCTGGGATTACAGGCACCTGCCACCACATCCAGCTAATTTTTGTATTTTTAGTAGAGACGGGGTTTCCCCACATTGGCCTCAAACTCCTGACCTCAGGTGATCCGCCTGCTTCAGCCTCCCAAAGTGCTGGGATTACAGGCGTGAGCTACCATGTCCGGTCTGAAAATGGGGTACTTTAAAAATAGATGAATAGTGGCTGCCTGACTAGTTAACAGAGGGTCTTCTGGATGCCTTTCCTAATACTCTCCTGCCCTCAGGAAACTCCAGCTCAACATGTTCTTGGTTCTGGTAAAATAGTAATGGTGTCAGAATGTGAAATTAACATTAGGCACATCTCTTGTCACAGTGACTCCCATATATTGAAGCTATGTCAAAGCCTCACAGACCATCTATAATTTGACTCTTAAAAATACAAAGTAGCTTAGTTGATCTTGCCACCTGGCTAGCCCTTTTGGCCTAGAGTAATGTACTGATCCGTATATAGTGGTCCTTTTGAAAAAGGCAGAACCGGAGCAGTGGGAGAGGTAAGAGGATTCGTGTTGACCTTAGAAACTTCACCCAGAAAGTGAAGCTCATTTAAATTGGTATATTTTCTAGCAAAAGGACGATTACACAGTTTCATTAAGCTACTTAATTCAGGCCCGATCAGATCTGCAGTTCTCTAGTCTGGGAAGACTAGCAGGATTGGATTTTTTTCTTTCCTGGCTAAGAAACTGCTTTTCCCCTACCCGCCCCGGGGTTCTCGATATGCACCTTTGGCCAAAAAGAACTATCCAGTATTTGCCCCACCCTCTAAACACACCTTCAAATGAAGGTTCCTGATTGAGTCAATTTGCTGTGGAGGAAGTTAGCTGTGGAATGTGAAAGCAGTCTAATTGTCTAGCTAAATCCTCCTGCTGGGAGCCTAATACATGTATACTAAATCTCATGCTGGTATCTTCAGATAGTGATGCATTTCAGATGAGTTCATCTTAATTCACTTATTTTTGCCTTCTACATCTGTCTTGATTGGCAGCCACAGTGGCTGCATTCCACGGTGTGGCATTCAGTATGGTGGATTTAAAGGTGAGGGTGGGAGGGTAAAGTAGGGGTTAGGAACTTCTGCCTAAGTATCAGGTTTAGTCTTGCTTATGGGTAACTGGTGGGGTTCCAGAAATGGACGTGGGTCTTCCAGTAGGAATGGTAACATGAAGGACCCCCAACAATTGCTTTAATTAGTGCTTATTCTAGTTTGAGCACTGCCTGTACTCTTAAGGTCAGACGCAGCCCACGATCGAACCTTCTAGAATACGAGTTGATACACGAACAGGTCAGAGCCAGAGATCCATCTTCTATTTGAGAGGCAACAGCTGGAATGGGCTTTCCTCCACTATTTAGGAACCCTGAAACTGAGTAATCTAGGGTGAATTAATACTGCTGTCTTGCCTTCCTCCCTTTGATCGTAATATAAACGTTTTTCAAGAACTGGAAGTGAGTGTGTAGAGAAAAGGCCAAGTAGGAAAGTTACAGGTGAGATTAATGAATTCATACTGTTACTGTATAAATACACAAGTTTTTTAAACAGCACCATTTCCAAGTTTACACAATACGATTATGACTTGGCACAACTTTTAAAGGTGGAAAAGACTAGTTGATAGTTCAGTAATAAAAGATCTGGTACATAAAAGGATAAGGAGCTGTATTCTACCTGCTACAGACTCTGCATCTTACACCTCCAGCTAGGACAGAAACAAGCCGCAAGGAGGGAATACCCGCTCAAATTAATACTGGAAAGTTTACAAAACCTTCACTTCTCATAAGGGTGATGCTACCAGGGGCTTGCTTCACCTGGAATTAGAGTAACTGATTTTTAAGGACAACTAAGAGTATTACTCGCTTCAAACAATAAAATAGTCATTTTGCCGACATTTCATAAAATCGCCATTTTTAAGCTCAGTTCAGAGGCTTTTAAAAAAATATTCTAGACCTAGTAAAGTGCCTCCATTCATAAAATGAAACATCCAAGATTAGATTGAGACAATTTCATACTGACGCGCATCTAAAATAGGTCGACGTATACAGTAAATAAACAGCGCCTCTATGTTGCCATATTTCAGTTAGTGGAATACACACCCAGCCTTCGCCGTTCTGGATGTGCAAACTAGAAACTGAAGACAAACGGGGATTTCAGCGTCCAGTTCCAACCGCTCTGCACGAAAGTACTCCACACGGTCGCTGCTTTTGAAAAACCAGGACGACGTCCCAAGTCGAGCCGACCGCTGAGCCGCACGCCTCCCCACACCAGGGGCGAGATGCTGTGCAGACCCAGCGGTGCGAGGGGCGGCAGCGGCGACCCTGGTGAGCCGGGAGCCAGGGTCCTCAGCGCAGCTTCTTGCCGGGCGGGCAGTCCCTGGCGCTGCGGGGCGGCGGGCGGGCGGGCGGCGGCGGCACTTTGGAGAGGGGGCAGTACTTGATGGTGTGCGCGTTGTCGCCGCTGGCGCCGCACAGGGGACACGTGTAGCGGCGCAGCACAGGGCACAGCACTCGCCCGTCGGGGCCCTTGAGGATGTGGGTGGTGTAGAGCGCCATCGCTTCCTTGTTGTTCCGGCAGAACACGCACACCTGCAGCTCGGGCTTCAGCAGTCGGGAGGCCGCCGCCCCGGAGGCCGCGTGCAGCCGGGGCTCTGCAGCCCACGCCGGGGCCCGCTCTTCGCGCGGCGTCGCGTCGCCGGTGGTGGCGGTGGCGGCGGCGGGCGCACAGCCCAGCAGCACGGCGGCAGCGCGACCGGCGAACGGGCTCAGCTCGGCGAAGCGCTCCTCCAGCAGCCCGGCCTCGGCGGGGCCGGTGCACAGCTCCAGTGCGCGCACCTCCAGCGCGCCCCCCAGGTAGCGGCCCCGGGGCCCCGGCTCGTCGCTGTCGTCGTCGTCGTCTTCGTCGTAGTCGGGCGGCCCCAGCGCTGGCCCCAGCGCCCCGGGCCCGGCTCCCCCGTGCGGGGAGCAGCAGGACGAGTAGGAGGAGGAGGGCGGGGAGCTTCCGCCGCCGTTC